GACACACTCGTGCACTTACACTCAGGCACACGTGCACATGCACACGTCTGGCCTGAACCCATGGGGGCTCGTGTGGTTTTCTCAGAAAGGCACCCTGGCCAGCAAGGGCTCTGTGTGTGCCCCTGCCTGCCCATGGTGCCCTGCCCAGTGACTCACAGTGGGCCATAACTCACAGTGACTCTGCTATCTTTTGGGCCATGCCTTTTATTTCAGCAACATCAGTGGGCTGGGCATCTAATCAGAGATATGCTGCAAGGCTCAGGAGGCCTGCAGAGGTGCTACCCCATCCCCGCCCCACTCACCCTCTGGCCCCTGCATCTCTGGACCCTGCCACTCACCCTCCTAGCCCTGCTAGGTGGGGCTTGGATGCAGGGATTGTAAACGGCACCTCTGGCAGTCTGCACTTCTGATATTAGCTCTTGGGGCTTCACTCCTGCCTTGGACTAACGCTGGCTGCCGTCGTGTGAAAAAACTGCAGCGTCAACCAGGTTCTGAAATGGTGCTATGGGAACAGGCCACACTTGTCAAGAAGAGAAAGATGGGCCCTCAAGTTTTGTTCTCAAGATGGATCTCTCTTGCCTTGGGTGGCAGCAAATGCAGCCACTTGGCAGCCCTGGCCAACAGGTCTCCGGGGCCAGATCTTTCTGTTGGTCCCTCCTATTGGCCCAAGGTCTTGCCGCCACTGTCTGCTGCAGCAAGACAGTGAAAGGAGCCCAGGCCCCCCAAATGGGCTCACCTGTGAGGGAGAAAATGTGCATTCATGGCCAAGCCTGACCTTCCAGCCCCGGCGGTCCCCATGAGTGTGTGTGTGGCTTTCAGAACACACTGCTGATGTGACTAGAGTCAGAACCATTTACAGTCTTTGTTCCAATGCAAATTCCCACACATGTATGCACACAAGTTGCAGTCCTAAGAGTGGCTCCTGGGGTGCCCTTTCTGACTTGGGAATCCTCCCTGAACTGCACCCGTGTCTGCAGGGCATGGCCCCAGCAGCAGATGTGTACCAAAAGCCTCACTGCCCGTCCCCAAAGGGACAATCTGAGCATAGCTCTGAGCTGGACAGGGGTGGACCAGTTCCTGTTCTCAAGGAGCCCACAGCATCTTGCCCTTCTCCTCCTGGGTGTGCAGTCTCTTCACGGGGGTCCAGGGCACCTGCACCTCTACAGCCTGTCCTTGCTGTGGCCAAACGGCTACTGGGGAGGTCACCACAGAACACAAATGCTTCCTTCCTGCACCTGCCATTGTGGATGGGCTGGCTGTGAATCTGGCTGACCACAGCTTGCTTTCCCCACACAGGGAATGCCTGGCCCCCCTGGGCCTCCAGGGCCCCCAGGCCCTCCCGGGACTCCCATCTACGACAACAATGTAAGTCTTCTTGCACCCTCTCTTTCTGCCCCCCCCCCCCCCCCGTGGCACTTCATGTAGAGCCATGGGCAGCTGCGCCGTCCACCTAGGGCCTCTGTCCAGGGTGCTCCTGAAATGGGCCACCTGGTGGCTGGAACCCTGAGGAGGGCGAAGGCCTGAGTACTGAGTGTGGTGGGGCCAGGGCGCTCCCCCCTCCCCCCACCAAGCTGGGGGATGAAGGTACCACAGAGGGTTCCCATTCCAGACTTACTCCTCCCCTACTCCGTGCCAGTGTGGCCTTGGAGAAGGCACCAGGGACTTCTGGGCTCAGGGCCCACTGGGTGGCTGGTGGTCTTGGTCTCCAGAACATTGTCCTTCAGCAGCCACCTCTGGGCCCCTCTCTGCAGGCATTTGTCGAGTCTGGCCGGCCTGGGCCTCCAGGATCACCAGGTGAGCACCCTGGGCTTGTAGTTAGAGAGAAGCAGTTCCGGGACCTTCTACAGATCTTTTTGACCCTGGATACCAGCAAGAATCCCCCAGCCCCTATCCCAGCCTCACCCGGCATGGCCTCCCAGGCAGCCTGGCCCTGGGGTGACCACCTATCTGGGCAAGGCAGGGCAGAGGTTGCCCAGTATCAGTGGCCCAGGTTTCTGGTATCACCTATGGGGCCTCTGGTCTTCAGGAACCCCTGTCCTCTGTCCCCAGAGTCCATCCAATACCCCCTCCAGGTCCAGGCCCAGCCCTGGGCACAGTGGGTGTGCATGGGTAGGAGGGCATCATCCTGGAGGTGTTTTGGTATGTTCTTTGACAGGCTCTGGGGTCTTTGCTTTTCCAGGGTATCAGGGGGCTCCTGGACCAAAGGGTGACAAGGGAGAAGTGGGCCCACCTGGACCTCCAGGTAAGTGCTCTGGGTGCTCCAGGCTGGGTGCTCTGTGCACCAGCCCCAATGGGCAGGGCCCTCACAGGAGCCAGGCCTGGAGGGCCGCAGAGATGCGTGCCTGTCACCCTCATGGCAGGGCTGGGCCACCGGGCAGAGGAGACACCACCCTCAGCCTGCCAGACTCCCCGTAAGCAGTGGCTGATGGTCGACACCAGAGGACCCACACCCAGCCCCGCGTGGAAGCCATGCCTGGCAGGTGGTCCTTGGGTGAGGGCACTCCAGCACCGCCTCTTCTCCCGGTGCACAGTGAGGACACTCTGCTGAGTCCCACTCCTGCTGAGGGTAGGTGGGCTGGCGTTGATGCACCACACCTCCCAGGCCGGGCTGAAACCACCAGGCTGCTTGTGAGCTGCACCCCAGGCCCATACCAGCCCCAGCTGGGGCTATTCCCCCCTGGGAATGGACTGGGTGAGTGGAAACAAGGTGCATGGACTGGGCAAGCAGAGGCAAATTGCAGGCTAGGTCGTCCCTGACCCCAGAGATGAGCACATGGAACAACATGCCCCAGGAGCCAGTGTGAGGGCCCCAGGGCCCCAGCAGGGCAGCATCTCGGGGCAGTATGGACAAGAATTCTCCAAAATGAGGGACATTCCAAGAGCTTCCCACATTCCAAAGATCAGCAATGAGAGCAACAGGGAATTTCTGAACAAAGATGAGGCAGACCTGATGTGGGGGGAGTGCGTGTGCACATGTGTATAGGGGTGTGTGGTGTGTGTGCATGTGTGCTGACGTGTATAGGGGGTGTGTGGTGTGTGTGCGTGTATGCTGATGTATGTATATGGGGTGTGTGTGTGTATATAGAGGTGTGTGGTATGTATTCATGTGTGCTTACATGTGTACAGGGGGTGCATATGTGTGCATGTGTGCTGATATATGTATATAGAGGTATGTGGTATGTGTGTATAGCAGGTGTGTGGAGTACATGTATGTGTGCTGATGTGTGTATGTAGAGGTGTGTGTGCATGTGTGCTGATGTGTGTACAGGGTGTGTATGCATGTGTGCTGATGTGTGTACGGGGGTGTGTGGTGTGTGTACGTGTGTGTGTGGGTGCGGTGTGTGTACATGTGTGTGTGGGGTGTGGTGTGTGTACAGGGGGTGTGTACATGTGTGTATGGGGGTGTGTGGTGTGTGTGCAGGGTGTGTGTGTAAGCACGTATATGTGTATAGAGTGGTGTGTGTATAGGGTGTTTAGGGGTGTGTGTGTATTCAGGCACAGTGTACCCTCAGGTGAGAAACATGGCCTGAAAAAGAAGGAATGTGATAAAGGAACAAGTCTGTCAGAAAAATCCAGTAATTATGAATTACAAATTTCTGTGCCTCAAATAACAGCCTTAAGGTACAAAGTAAAAACTGACAGAGCTTAACAGACCCATGCAAATCAGTTGTGACAGAAAGTTTTAACCCAGCAAATGGGAGATCTGAATAGCATGGTCACAAGCTTGACCCACGACATCTCTGGGCCATGGACTCAGCAGAGGGACAGACTGCCCAGTGGGCCAGGGTGTACCAAGCACATCTGCAGGTGCCTGGGATCAAGATCTCACACGGCATGGTGGACCCCAATGTAGAGCAGCAGACTTTAGGCAACATGTGAGCAAGGAGAGATGGACACGAGAAACTACCTAGCGGCGAGGATCAGCTGGAGCCCCGTGCTGCCAAGGTGGCCTTGTAGGGTGGAAGCTGCAGACTTTCAGGCAATGGGATCCTGCCGCCTGTCACCTCTGCAGAAAGGCCTGGGCGGAGCGGGCTTGGGATTAAGCAAGGCTCCAAGGCCCCAGTGACTGCAACTATGGTCACCCCATCCCCAGTGAGGGCACCTGAGACTATTTTGCCCTGGGTGCAGGGAGCCACCTGCCCAGGGCATGGCCTGGGGGTGGGCATGGCCTCTGGCTCCCACCAGGCACTCAGGGTGCAGGTTTCAGAGTCAGCCCAAGGCTGCTTTCCCACCCAGAAGGAGAGGGTTTTGTTAACTGTTGACAAAATTATAGCCTTAAATAACAGGTATTTCTAAGTATCCAGCTCAAGTAATTAGAAAACAAACAGTGAATGTAGTTTAATGAAAACAGATGGACATATTAAAATGGGAAATGAAAAAAAGTGTATGATATTTATATCTGTATAAAATAGGAAGCACCAGGAAGCCCCAAAATTAAGTTAGGTCTTGGGAAGGCTGAAAATATTCAGATGCCTCTGTCAAGACTGATAATACAAAAGCAAGAGAAGTGACATTTCTGCTGAGGGGCATCCAGAGGGTCTCTGGGCCCTTGTGAGCATGCAGAGGGTCCCTGGGCCCCGTGCAGGTGGAGGAAGGAAACATCTCACTGTTTCCACAGACCACATGTCCCCTGTAAACAACCCAAAAGGATCTACAAATAAAGTGTCAGAATTAATAAGTAATTTACCAAGGTCACTAGGGAAGGGCAATTTAAAAAAATCAGTGCCTAGTCATAAACAATGAAAAATATTTTTAAAAGACACTATTAACAAAAACATCAAAAATATCAATTAGGTAAGAATCCACATAATAAAATATGTAGGCTCTATAGAGAGAAACACAAAAGCTCCGTGGGGTGGGGGGTGAGCATGGGGTGCTTTCCCTGGGCCCACCTGGTCTCCCTCCTCCGCAGGGCAGTTCCCATTCGACCTTCTTCACCTAGAGGCTGAAATGAAGGTGGGTAATCCCTGGGTTGTCCTCGCTGTCCCCCACAAGGGTGCTGGCTCCCTGGAAAGTCCCTTGGGATATTTTCTGGGGCTTGGCTGAGGTGGCAGGTGGGAGCTGAGCCCTCTCCTATAGGGCCTACCAGGCCTGGGCTCCAGAAGCTTCCAGCTGCCCCCTCCCCCTGGGCTGTGTCTCACACACACTGTTTTCTCCTGCAGGGGGAGAAGGGAGACAGAGGGGACACTGGACAGAAAGGCGAGAGGGGCGAGCCGGGGGGTGGTGGCTTCTTCGGCTCCAGTGTGCCAGGCCCCCCCGGCCCCCCAGGCCCTCCAGGCTACCCAGGGGTCCCGGTAAGCTTAGGCCCAGGCAAGAGCAGGTGCCAATGTTCTGGCCTGTGCAGACAGTTTGTGGCCCAGATCCAGGTCCTAGAGCCCAGGGCAGGTCCAGGTGGCCACTGATGCCCCCAGGCCAAACCAGCATCCTGTGGCCAAGCCCCCCAGCAGCCCTGCATTTCCTTGCCCCCTCATGGAGCACTCCGCAGGTTGGAGCACAGCCACACTGCCAGGACCCCTCATGGCCCTTGGTGCTGCACCTGTGGGCCCTTCTTGAGGAGGTGCCTCCAGTCTTGGGGAGCCATGTGGGCCCAGGGGACTATGGGCAGTACTAGGTCAAACCCTGTCAGGGCTTGGGACCCCATCTGCCTAAGAAGATGCCAGGGAACCAGGCTCAGCTTCTGCCTAGGGGGCTTCCAGTCCCTGTCCCAGGTGGTGTGGGAGGGGCCTGGGTTTCCCAGCCCATGCTATGAGCCTGAGGGTTACTTGGAACATGGGGGTTCTTGGCGAGCACAGCCCCAGCCCTTCATGTGGCAACGTGTCTCTGGTTGTCCTAGGGCCCCAAAGGAGAGAGTATCCAGGGCCCGCCTGGCCCACCTGGACCTCAGGGACCCCCTGGCATTGGCTACGAGGGGCGCCAGGGCCCCCCTGGCCCACCAGGCCCACCAGGGCCCCCTTCATTTCCTGGCCCCTACAGGCAGAGTGAGTTGGGGAAGGAGTGAGTGGGTCAGGCAGGGTGTGGGTTGAGGCAGAGCCCACTGGCCCCTACCCCGTGGCCACCAGCAGCTGCTTGTTCCCACCTGGGTTTCCCTTTTGCAGCGATCAGCGTTCCCGGTCCCCCCGGGCCCCCTGGACCCCCGGGACCCCCTGGAATCACTGGTGCTTCCTCAGGGGTAAGCAGCTCATGTCACCGTGAAGGCTTGCACACTGGACAAGCCTTGCTGGGTTGCTCTCACCTCCCCATGTCCCTCACCCAATCACAGAACCCACCGGTCACACCCTTACCCCCAGCCCCAGAGTCCTCAGACCCACAGACACCCGTGCTGTGATGGCCATGCCCAGCAGACACACAGGAAGCCAAGTGGAAGTGGGGTGGAGTCTGCGGGGGCCAGGGAGGAGAACAGCCTGTCAGGAAGCCCCTGGGGCTGGTCCACTGTGCATGGAGGCAGGGAGCAGTGTAGACTGAGGATTTCACCCTGCTCACGAAGGTGGCCACACAACACCCTGAAGTGCCCAAGCCGGCCCCTCAGCCCTGCCCAGTCCGGACCCACGGGTCTGGCAGCTTCAGCCAGGCCAGTGGGTGGCGCCTTCTCTTCTGTCCTGCTTGTCAGCAGCAGGGCCCCAGCGCACTGGGTTTGGATTCCAACAGGTGCGAGTCTGGGCCACGCACGAAGCCCTGCTGGACCAGGTGCACGAGGTGCCTGAGGGCTGGCTCATCTTTGTGGCCGAGCGGGAGGAGCTCTATGTCCGTGTCCGAAATGGCTTCAGGAAGGTTCAAGTGAGTTCTGGTGAGGGTGGGACCAGGAATGCAGGTGGAGGCCAGGCCTTGTGCAGGGACCCAGCAGGCAGTTGATGGCTTCTCATGTTTTGTGTCCATTTAAAGTTCTGTAAACTGCCTGGTTTTACAGAATGGGGGAGTAGGTGACACTAATGTGCTGGTGCCGGCAGCTCATGTCACTGTGAAGGCTTGCATGGTGGACATGCATGTGAATAAGACCAGGTGGCTTACAGGAGGAGCATGGGTGGCATCACAGAGCCACACAGCCCCGGCAGGATAAGAGGGGCTGCTAGGCTTTCCACACTGCATAGTAAACTTGAGATAAGCATGGCTGTGGCTGCAAGAGCTGGTCCAGGTGGGCGCAGTCAGGGCTCTTGGGTCCCTGCAGGAGGCCTGTCCTTTGTAGGGCACAGGTGGGGCAGATGAATGCCAGCCTAGGGTGCCTCCTGTCTGACCCTGAAGAGTCTGTGCTGGTCTGTGTGTTGATGCGGACCCTGAGCTATGGGCAGCGCCCACTCCCTGCCCCTCCCCATCATGATCCCACTCTGACCTGGCCCGGGCCCTGGTGTGCCCACTTCAGGCCCTTTATCCAGCCAGGCAGAGTCTGTGGGTCTTGGCAGCAGGACTGACCAGGTGCCTGCTGTGTGCCAGCTGTCCTTGTGGGCACTGGAAGTGCAGCCTGGGCCGCGGTAGCATCTGCTTTGTGACAAATGAGCTTTGGGGAAGGCAGGGCTGCTGGGGGTGGGTGCCTGGGTTGCTGGAGTAACCCCTGCCACTTTCTTCCAGCTGGAGGCCTGGACGCCACTCCCAAGAGGGACGGTATGGAGCATTTTTCTGTTTTAGACTTGGCAGGTCAGGGTGTGAGGGGTGTGCCGGTAGGGGTATGCTCAGTCTCAGGTTTCCCAGGGAACTTGGGTACCTGGAGCCTGGTGTGACTCACCTGTAGCGGCCCTGCTGTGGGAGGTGCCAAGACACTTGTGTCTTCAACACAAGACACTTCCTCGGGCCAAGACCCACATTTCATACCTGTCTGTCCACCTTACCCACAGTCAGGCACAAGAGTGGATGGCTCTGGGGCATGTGGGCGGCATCTTATGTGATTCCGTGAGCAAGGGCTGTGCAGTCCCCTACAGCCCATCCTGGGGTAGAAGTTGCCACCCAAGCTAAGTGATGTGTGTCAGGGGCAAGAAATGCCTCTGTGCACGGTGGGGCCCAGGGCTGCCTGAGCAGAGGTGTTTACCCATCCTGGTGGGGTGCCACCTCCTGCTCCCCCGCCCACCCTGGGGAGCACAGCCCCACGCACGGAGAGTGCAGAGGAGGTGCAGGAGGGCGTCCTAGGAGAGAGCACCTAGACTCCAGTTGCTGAGCCCTCACAAGCTTCCTGACCTGCAGGACAATGAGGTGGCTGCCCTGCAGCCCCCACTGGTACAGCTGCACGACAGCAACCCACACCCCCGGCGGGAGCACCCCCACTCCACAGCACGGCCCTGGCGGGCAGATGACATCCTGGCCAGTCCCCCGCGCCTGCCCGCCCCGCAGCCCTACCCTGGGGCTCCACACCACGGCTCCTATATGCACCTCCGCCCAGCACGCCCCACAGGCCCACCTGCCCACACCCACCAGGACTTCCAGCCGGCGGTGAGTGTCCACTGGGCCTTGGAGGAGGACATGGATTTTTCAGAGGTCCAGGGAGGTGTCTGGGGCAGGCCAGGCCTACTACTTGCCCACTGGAAGGCCTGTGGTTGTGCACAGAAGGTAGGGCCCTGCGAGGCTAGTGCCCACTCATGCCTCACTGCTCTGGACCCAGCATGCTGAGGACTAGGGCGTACCGGGGCTGCTGCTTGGGCCAGTGGCACCCAACATCACCTGTGCTGCCCTGGGCCAAGGGGTCTGCAGAGCCACACGCAATTGTCAGGGGGTGCAGGAGGCCACCGGGGACCTGACTGAGGGTGAGGGGGGTATCTGGTATAGCCCCTGACCTGCACAACCTCTCCACAGCTCCATCTGGTTGCACTCAACAGCCCACTGTCAGGTGCTATGCGTGGCATCCGCGGGGCCGACTTCCAGTGCTTCCAGCAGGCACGAGCTGCGGGGCTGGTGGGCACCTTCCGGGCCTTCCTGTCCTCACGGCTGCAGGACCTCTACAGCATCGTGCGCCGCGCTGACCGTGGGGTTGTGCCCATTGTCAATCTCAAGGTGGGTTGGCCAGATCTGTGGCTACGGCAGATCCTCACATGCACTCAAGCCTGACTCAGGTGTAGGGTCACGGCACGGGCTTACCTCGAGGGTCTGTGGAGGCCACCGTGGGTGTCACCCTCCGGAGAACAGGAGCCCACATCTACACCCCATGGGCTACCCCACCCTGGGCTATGATCCCTGCTCCCTTGGCAGCACCCCCCATAGTCCTGATGTCCATCCCACCGGGATGCTCTCAAGGAGGCAGGGCCAGGAGCATACACTTTTGCATGAGCCTAGGGCAGAAAACATTCCTGGGCAGTATTCCAGGGCTCCTTTTCATGACCTGGGCTGTGTTCTTGGTGCCCTGAGTGCACCTGTGTCCCTGGCACCAGCAGCAGAGGACCCACAGTCACAGGGGGCCAACCACCAGCTGATAGGCTGGGTCCCTCCACCTTAGGGTCCCCTTGGGCTGCAGGGGCTACCTGGCTGTGGCTATGCACCTGCCTTGTTCTTGGGCAGGATGTGAGCAGGACCAAGGAGCCCCCACACTGTCTTTCCCCTGCAGGACGAGGTACTGTTCCCCAGCTGGGAGGCCCTGTTCTCGGGCTCCGAGGCCCCACTGAAGTCCGGGGCCCGCCTCTTCTCCTTTGATGGCAAAGATGTCCTAAGACACCCAGCCTGGTAAGTCTCCAGGTTGGATGGCACAGCAGCTTCTGAGAGCCCCAAGCAAAGGGGTAGTACTGTGTGTCCTGTGTTATGGTACCATTCATGATTATGTAAGAACAGTGTGGTTCTCCAGACACCCAAGGTGCTCCTCTTATGCACAGCTGACAAGGCTGCAGGCACCTCTGATGGTTTCACCAGCTTGATGCCCACACGTAAACATCACAGTGAATTAGTCACTGAGAATAAACGCAAAGGGCCATTCTAAACGTAGGCGAGCACTTAGAATATTGACAGAAATTACCAGAATGCCCTCAAAAAGACTTCATGCCAGATGTCCCTCTGTCTGCCAGGCGAGGGTTCCTATTCCCCAGTGCTCATGTTTTTAGAGTGCCTTCCAGTCACACAAGTGTGCCCCAGAGGAGCCAGGTCTTTGGCCATCTTCTTACCGAGATGCACTTGCTAAGGGCCATCCTTAGTCCCTGACAGGGGCAGGGCTGGGCCGTCCAAGGGGCTGGCCAGCATCTGGGACCTCTGGCAGGCAGTGTGTTCCTGGCAATGTGGAACAAGGACACCTTTGTCACCCAAGGGCCAGGTCCACTTGGACCTGGTCCAGCCACAGCACCTCTGCCTTCTATAGCATAGGCAGTGAGGAGGAGCCCCTCAGAAAGGCCCCCAGAAGGGTAGCAGTGTGGCCTCCTGATTGTTGGACCTCCTTGGCTCTGGGTACCTCCCCTTCCTGGCCCAAGGTTGGCTTCTGCCCTGGTGGGGGGCAGATCTGCACATGACTAACAGCACACTGCATGTCGCAGGCCCCAGAAGAGCGTGTGGCACGGTTCAGACCCTAATGGGCGTCGGCTGACCGAGAGCTACTGTGAGACGTGGCGGACAGAGGCCCCTGAGGCCACAGGCCAGGCTTCCTCACTGTTGGCAGGCAGGCTGCTGGGCCAGAAGGCTGTGAGCTGCCATAGCACCTACATCGTGCTCTGCATTGAGAACAGCTTTGGGACTGCCTCCCAGTAGGCCTCTGTCCAAATGTGCACGGCTGGGAGGACGGGTGGCAGGGGCCAGAGCAAGCCCTTGCTGTGGACAGGGAGCATCTGGCCAGCACCCTGGGGACCTGGCTGGGGCATGTCCTCGTGTAGATCACATTTCATGTAATCCTCAAGAAATAAAAGGAAGCCAAAGATTGTATTTTTTAAAAAGTTTAAAACAGAAGCTTGATGCCAAGATGCCCCATTTCTTGGGGGACCTGGGAGCCCACAGGCCTGGGCTGGTCACCTGAAAGTGCTGTCTTCAGTGCCAAGTGGAGCCATCTTAGTCCACATCAGACCACAGCTCCATCTCAGCCAGAGGCCCGCTCCGGGATTCCTGTTCTGGGAGCTATGCCCCTGACATTGGGCTCTTCTGGGCCCTCACTCACCTGTCAGGCGCTGATTCAGTTTTCTGCCTGGCACCCTCCTGTGCATAAAACCCAGACCTCCACAGACCCAGACCTCTGGTGGGGCACTGGGGCCAGGTCATGCTCCACAGGAGGCCTCCCTTCCCCTTCCCTGGAGCAGCTGCACTAGCAGCAGAGAACATGCTCAGGTCACCAGCCTTTCCTCAGCCCTGGTGTGGGTGGGTTTCCAGCTGTGGCCTGTCCCCAGCACTGTATACGGCTGGGAACACAGACTGCTGCCTGCCCTGGCATGTGGGGCCTCTCTGCCCCTCGATGGCCTCCCAAGTGACCCGTGAGAGAGCACACACAGCAGAGAGCCCAACTCTGGCCACATGTGGCTGGGAGTCAGTGTGTGGCAGCTTCCTGTCTGGGAACCTGTGCCTTGCCTGGCCCCTCTTCCAAGGTGGGGTGCTCAGCACTGACTCCTACCCACTTAAGCCCAAAACAGCCCCAACATGCCAGGTTCCTGAGTTCATCTGTGCAGAGCCACAGGGCTCTGAAAACCCAGGGAACAAAGGGTTAGCAGCTCAGGGGCCCCGGTCAGTGGGCAGATCGTAACTGGCACTGCCCAGCCAAGTGCCAGGAAAGGACAAGGCCACTGAGGAGGCTAAGGCTGGCACACAGGGCAGTGATAAGGGGCCAGCAGCATCTGTCCGCACCAACACATTGACAGGTGGCCATGAACACAGTTCACCAACTGTCTCCTAGAAAGCCTATTTTCCTCACCCTGCCCATGGGGCACTGAGGGCAGGCTGAGTGGCCACAGTGGTGCTATTCTGTGGAGGAGCATGTGTGCTCAGGGCAGCACCCGGCTGATCATGGCATGTGACATGTGAAGTGCCAGTTCAAACAGGTACCAAATAAAAATGACCTTTACACTGACATGTGGTTTACTAATGGCTATCACTATCTCAGAAGGGCAAATTATCCACAGCAAGTCCTAGAGAGCTGCTGTCCCTGGACTACCCAGCTGGCAGACCCTGATAAGGGGGCACAGGTGTGCATATGTGTACACAGCTGTTTATGAACATTCTTCAGAGATCTCCCCACAGCCATCAGTCTTCATAGACCCTTATCTTGAGACCCTCATACTTGGTCCTCTCTGCAGCCACTTGCACCCTCCAGGCTCTGCAGGCTCTGCCCCAAGGCTGAGGGTGCCCTACCGGCAGGACCTAGCCTATCCCTTGGGAGTGGCAGGAACAGTCATCAAAGCCAGTGTGGGGTGAGGGGTGGGGTGGATGCAGACCCTGGGGCAGGACTAGATTCTGACAAGAGGGACTGGCCTGGGTGAGGTTGCCAGGACTGTGCTGTGGGATCGGCCATAGGGCTCACGGTGTGTGGTGGTCAGCATGAGGCAAGGTGGTGGCTATACTCATTCCTGCACCCTTGGGCCCCAGCTCTACTGATTGTGCCCTGGTGGGACTAGACCTCAGGACCACTGCCCATCTGGACTTAGGTTGTCTTTCCCCTGGACTCTCAACCCAGGGTGCCCTAGAAGCCTTCTCACCAAGCCGACCTGGGGGATTCTTGGGCACTGGCAGCTCCAGCTGCCTCTGAGCCAGAAATTCCATCCCTAGCTTTTTTCAGCAGGCTGGCTCTGAGCAGCTGCTGTCCATTGGGACACACTAAGTGTGGACGCTTACCAGAGGGCCCCAAGGGACAGGGTAGAGAGAGAGGATGTTTGGCTCACAGGCACCAGGGCCTTGGTATAGGTCCTTGATGAGGAGGGCAAGGGGGATGGCTGGGCCCCTTCCAGGCCTCCTCACTGATGGTGGCCTCCACCCAACAGGTCAGGCTGGTCTGGAATTAAGAGCTGTGTCACATTCCGTTCTCGAGGTCTGTTTAATGTATCTGGGGAAAAACATCACAGGACAGTCTCAAGAGTGATGCTCCAATGGCCCTCAGACCCCAAAGCTGCTGGAACATATCTTTCCAGCGCTGGCCCAGGGAAGCAGGCGGCTCAGAGGTTGGGCCAGGGCTGGCCCCGTGGGTCCCTGGAGCACACCAGGGCCAGCATATCCACAGAGACAGGGATACATCCTCCCTGGGTGGGCATGTAGGTGTTAACCCACTTCAGGACAGAAGGCACAATAGTGGGGGCAGGAACCAGCTCCAAGGACCAGAGCCCCTGTGTGTTTATGATGGGGATGTGTCTGCCATCAACCTGAGAACAGCTTCTCCCACAGAAACAGAGAAGCCAAATCTGTTTCTTTCTTTCTTTTTTTTTTTAAAGATCAGAACCTTGTTTAAAACTGCAAGTACCTGGAGCTATGTCACAGTTGATCCACAGGCCTGGGGAATTCAGGCTCCCAGCCCTGTCCTGAGGGTCCATGACTTGTGGAGCTGGTATCCCCTTGGCTGGCACCAAGGACCACCTCATCAGTCCCCATGGACAGAAGGGTTTGCTTCATCCCTGGGGGTGAATGCAGGAAAGCCTGGTGTACCCCAGAGATCCCTTATCAGCCTCCGCTTGGCAATAGAGGCCCAGTGGGGGCAGCACAGCCAGGCAGCTGCTCAGAAGGTCCCCAACAGGCCCCAGCCTCCACTGGGGTGTGAAGCAGGGCTGGGGAAGGGGCTCTCAGGGTCACCAGCAGGGCAAGCTGAGGCCAGGGCCCCTCACTGACAAGGCGTAGGTTAGGGGGACACAGAGGGTCACCCACAAAGGCACAGGGGCTCCATGAGTCACTAGTTCACATTCTAAACACGTCTGTGAAGTCAGGCTTGATTAGCACAGGGAGCACGTAGCAAAGGACTTCCTCAGATGTCAGGAATCCAGGTGACGGCTGGGCTGGGGTAGGAGTGCAGGTGGAGCTGGGGCAGGCTGGCTCTGCTCCTGGGAGGCCAGCCCAAGGCCCCAGGCGCTGCCCTCTGGGTACAGTGGAGGGCACGTGTCCTGCATGCTAGGCGTCTGCTCAGCCTTCTCCTCCAAGGGGCTCCTCAGTTCTTGGGCCAGTGGCAGGGGCCGGTGGTGGCTTCGCTGAAAGTGCCGCCAACCATCGAGCATGGCCCCCAAGAAGTAGAAGATGGACAGGACCAGGAAGTACACAAAGTAGATCCGGAACTGGAACAGAAAGGCCCAGTGAGGCCGGTGGGGCCCAGGCCAGGCTGCACGCCTGCCTGAGACACCTGCCCCTGGACCCTCCAGGAAGTACATGAAGTAGGCTTGGAACTGGAACAGAAAGGCCCAGTGAAGCCAGTAGGACCAGGCTGGGCTGCATGCCTGCTGGAGACACCTGTTCCCAGAACCCCCCACCTCCCATTCAGAGGCTGTTGCCAACACTGCACAGGGTCAGAGGCCCCAGGAGTCTACCCAGTTTCTTGCCATGCCTGGGGCAGCCCTAATGTAGGGGCTCCCTGACACCCATGCTTTGTGGGGCTGAGTTCTCATGGCTACCTAGATAGCACAGGGACATGCATGAGTGCCAGAACTTTCCATCTAGCAGAGCTAGGCAAAGAGAGCTCCTACGTAGGCCCTGGGCCAGCACAGAGCCCTCTGTGGCCCTGCAGCCTGAGCTAGTCTCTGTCCTGATGGCAGAAGCTGCACATCAATGACAGAAGCTGCACATCAATGACAGAAGGAGCCGTCCCAGTTGTGGGATCACTTCTCCTGGTTCTTACAGCCACCACAAGCAAGAGGGACTGGACACATCCCCCAGACAGTGGGGAAGAACTACATCATTCCCACAAGTACCACAAGGTTCAGGAGGCCAGGGTGGTCACGGGGTATCCCAGGGCCATAGCCCAGAGCAAGTCTGAGTCCTGAGAGGCCTGTCAGCACTGGCACCCTTCAGGAAAGCTCATTTTTAAAGTTAGGAAATCAACCTTTGAGGATGCTGCTTCCAGGAAGACAGGGATGACATACAATGACAGATGAGGTGCTGCAGAGCTGGCACAGAGCTGACAGGGCCAGGACTGGGAGCCACCAGTACTGCGCTCTCTGGGCTTTGTTCTCTTGGCCTCCTACATTTTGGAACTGAAGAAATCAGCAAGCGAGAAATGCCAGCAGGCTCAGAAATAGCCCAGCATGAGAGGCTCTCCCAGCCAAAGGCCAGGAAAGGGCAGCCCAATAGGAGGCAAAACTAGATCGCTCCCCGGGCCGGCCACACACTGCCCATGGCAACAAGGTGTGGGGTCCCAGACTGCACCCTCAACAGGCTACAATGAGGTCCTGAGTTGCTGTGCTGGCTGCTATCAGACAGGCCAAGAAGGGCCTGGACGTCACCTGCACCTAGTGGTAGCTGGGTGCCCATGCCCTCACCTGGGAGGTGATCAGATGAGGCTACGGGGAGAGTCTGGACTTTCACTGCATGCACCCTTGGGTGTCACAAAGGCTGAGTGGGAAGCCTGGACTTCACCCCACCTGGCTATAGCAGGGTGCACAATCTCCTTTCTCTGCTAGAGTTTAGTCGGGAAAAACCAGCCCAAACAGGTTTACATGAGATCCAATCTCATAACATCACATTCCTAATGCCTGCATTTCAATCAGAAGTCACTCCTACAGAGAATCACCAGGATCTCAAACTGAATAGAAGACAATCCACCAAAATCAGGACAGAGATGTTAAAATTACCTGAGAAAGGTCTTAAAGCAGCCACCATAAAAGTGCCTCCTTCAGTCAGCACTGCCAGCAGCGCTGGAAACAAATGAGAACAATGACCTCAGCAAAGAAACAGGAGAAATAATAGAACATAACTGAAAGATGCAACAACCAATACAAACATACCAGCAAGTGGAAAGACGGAGAAACCAGGGAACTAGAGACAGACCAGCAAACTTGCCCTGTCTCAACAAGCAGACTGAAAAACACAGATAAAGCCTCAATCCAGGGACAACGTGGGAAAAGACAGAACACTTGTGTCACGGGAGTTCCAGAAAAAGAAGAGAAAGGGGATGGGGTTTCTCTGGAAACCCACGGACACATCCCAAATTCGGTAAGAAAATAAACTGGACATGTCCCAACTTCGGTAAGAAAATAAACTGCAGATCAAAGAAGCTGAAAGAACCACAAACAGGAAGGCCCAAAAAAACCCACACCAACACACACCAATTTCAAACTTCTAAAAGCTAAAAATAAAAATAAAGAGAAAATCTTGGAATAGCCAGAAAAAACTGATACCTTACAGGAAAAACTGTCTGAATGACAGTGGATTTCCCCTGGCCTCCCAGTCTCACCTACTAAGAAGAAAAACACTATCTACCCAAATTCCTATGTCCAATGAAAATATCTTTCAGAAATAAAAGGGAAATAGACATTCTTAGGTGAAGAAAAATTAAGAGAAGAATTTGTCACCAGCAAACTTACCTAAAATAAAGGCAAAACAAGTTTTTTGGTTTTTTGTTGTTTTTTTTTTTAGACAGAGTCTCATAATGTCACCCTGGGTAGAGTGCCATGGCATCATAGCTCACAGCAACCTCAGACTCTTAGGCTCAAGCAATTCTCTTGTCTCAGCCTTCCAAGTAGCTGGGACTACAGGCACCTGCCACAATGCCCAGCTATTTCTTATTTGTTGCAGTTGTCATCATTGCTTAGCTAGCCTGGCTGGGTTCAAACCCACCAGCCTCAGTGTATGTGGCTGGCAGGCACGCTAGGCGCTGAGCCCAAAAAGAAGTTCTTTAACAAAAAAGAGAGAATAAAAGAATCTTGAAATAATAAGAAGGAAGAAAGAGCACAGTAGGCAAAATACAAATAGATAAACTACTGGGTGGCACCTGTGGCTCAGTGGGTAGGGCGCTGGCCCCATATACGGAGGGAGGTGGGTTCAAACCCGGCCCTGGCCAAATTGCGACCAAAAAAATAGGGGGGCATTGTGGCGGGTGCCTGTAGTCTCAGCTACTTGGGAGGCTGAGGCAAGAGGATCACCTAAAGCCCAGAAGTTGGAGGTTGCTGTGAGCTGTGTGACACCATGGCACTCTACTGAGAGCGATAAAGTAAGACTCTCTACAAAAAAAAAAAAACAAAAAAAATTAGATAAACTACTTTCCTTCTCAAGTTTCCTAAATCATGTTTGCTGATTAATACAAAATTTGTAACACTTACTTATATGGCACTAAAAGTACACAGGGAAAATATTTAAGACAGTTGTACTGACAAAGAAAGGCCAATATTCCACACTTCATTCAGACTGGCAATAAGTGGTAATACATAAAGCAACCACCAAGAGAGCTGTACTGAGAAGTGCCCTCAGAACAACAGACAAAACAAAATTACGAAGAATGTGCAAGTAACCGGCTAGAAGGTGCCAAAAAGAAACCAAAGACTAAAAACTGAGAATAATATGAAACAGCAGACTTAAGCTCTAACACAGAAATTATCACTTGCACACTGACAGAGTAAACACCCCAGATGTTAGAGACTGGCAGGGTGAACTAAAAACCATGAACCTGCCAGCAGCTGTCTGTAAGAAACTCACTTCAAACGTAACAAGATAGGAAGCTCAGAGTGAAAGAATGGAAAAGGCTTTATCATGCTAACAAAGAAAAGCAGGGTGGCTCTGTTGATATCAGAGTGTAAATATCACAGCAAAGAAAGTGACCTGAGACAGGGAAGTTACTCAGTGATGGCAGGGTCAATCCACAGAGACAGACCCTGATCCCAAATGTGCAGGTGATCAACAAAAGGGCTGCAAACACAAGAAGTGAAAACACGATAAAACCAGAAGGAGCGACAAACCCGTAACTGTACCTGGAGACGCCAGTGCTCCTCTCTCCATAAAGCAGACCTGACAGGAAATCCACAGGAACAAAGAAATCAAGAACACATCAGTCAGCAGGACTGGCCAGCACGGGTAGGGCACCCCTGCGCCCCCAGCAGAACACACCTCCTCTCCAAGTTCCACAGAGGACAAACTGACAGAGACAATATTCTGGGCCACAAAACAAATCCCAACAAATGTAAAAGGATGAAAATCATATGGAGTGAGTTTCCTGATCACAAAAGAAAAAAGAAATTAGTAACTAAGAGATAACAGGAAAATCTCAAAACACTTGGAAACTACACAACACGCTCTGAAAGAATGATACACTAAAAACACATTAAAATTAATGCAAACGCAAAGACAACATGGGATACAGCAAAATCAGTGCTGACAGGGGAAACTCAGGCACTAATGCATACGTGAGAAAAGACGAGTAGTCTCAAACCAATAATCTCTCCCCTTAAGAACCTAGAAAAAGACGAGTAGAATAAATGAAAAGCAAGCATAAGGGAGAAAAGAATAAAGTTCTAGGCTCGGCACCCATAGCACAGTGGTTACAACGCTGGCCACATACACTAAGGATGGTGGGTTCGAACCTGGCCCAGGCTGGCTAAATGACAATGACAACTGCAACAAAAAATAGCTGGGCATTACGGCAGCTGCCTATGGTCCCAGCTATTTGGGAGGCTGAGGCAAGAGAATTGCTTGAGCCCAAAAGTTCGAAGTTGCTGTAAGCTGTGATGCCACCGTACTCTACCAAGGGTGACATAGTGAGACTCTCTTTCAAAAAAAAAAAAAAAAAGAATAAAGTTCTACATTGTGCAATAAGGCAAGATAAGCAAATAATACACACATCAGAGAGGAAGAAATTAAATGCCCCCTATTATACAAATGACATGATTATCTTCATGGAAAATCTCAAGGAATCTAAACAACACAAACAAATAAAAACATTAGAAAATTTCCTAGAACTAATAAGTAAGCTCAGCAACAATGCAGGGCAGAAGACACATACAAATATCAACTGTGTTTCTACACACCCACAGAGGGATGTGCACACTGCCATGGGCTGATTATGCCCTCCCCCAATTCTTTTTTCTGCAGTTTTTGGCCAGGGCTGGGTTTAAACCCATGACCTCTGGCATATGGGGCCAGCACCCTAATCCTTTAAGCCACAGGTGCCACCCAAAGTTTCTTTTTCTTTTCTTTTCTTTTTTTTTTTTTGCACTTTGGCTGGGGCTGGGTTTGAACCTACCACCCTTGGTATATGGGACTGGCGCCCTACTCACTGAGCCACAGGTGCCATCCCCCAATTCTTATGTCAAAGCCCTAACCCCCAATGTCACTTTACTTGGAGATGAGGCCTCCAAAGTCATAATTAACGTTAAATGAGATCATAAGGGTAGGGCCCTAATCCAATCTGACTGGTGTCTTTACAAGGAGAGGGAGATTCCAGACAGAACACAGAGAGATGGCCATGTAAAGACATAGAAGCCTGAGAAGCCTGCTCACCCCTCACAGTCATAGATGTCCAGCCTCCAGAATAGTGAGAACAAACTTCTATTGTTTAAGCACCTAAGTCTGTGGTATTTTGTTACAGGAGCCCCAAACAGACTCATGCAGACACTAAAATTTAAAATATTGTTTCATTTGTGATAGCTCCAAAACGAAACAAGTATAACCAAAACATCTACAGTACTTGTATGTGGAAAACTACAAAATAATGAAAGAAATCAAAGGAGATCTAAATAAATGGAGAGATAGACCATGTTCATGGATTGGGAAACAACAGTATGAAGCTATCAATTCCCTAAAACTGACACGCTGCCTTAGTGTAACTCCCAACAAAACTGGGGCAAGACTTTCTGTAGATATAGATATGATTACTCTAAAATGTATCCCAAAAAAAGTATAAAAGGGGAAACAAGTTTGAATAAAAATAAAAAAGTTGGAGGAAACAATCTAGCCAATTTAATACTTAAAATAAAGCTTCATAACTAAGACAATATGGCATTATTAAAAGGACAGCCACACAGCTCAATGGGACAGAATAAAGAATCCAGATAGAGACTGACATAAATATGCCCCAAATTTTGACAAATGTGGCAAAAGCCATTCAATGGAGAGAAGATAAGATGCTAGAACACAGGCCAAAAAATTGAACCTTAACCTGAACCTCACAGTTTATACAAAAATTAACCCTAAATAGATCATAGATTTTAAAGTAAAATTATAAAATCTATAAAAAGAAATTGGTGGAAATCTGAATTTAGGGCTAGGCAAAGCATTCTTAGACTTTATACCACAGGTATGATCCATAAAATAAAAACTGCTAAATCAGAGCTCACTGAAATTAGGAAGATGAAACAAGAAGCTATGGAATAGAAAAAATATTTGCAAACCACATATATCCAACATGACTAGTATCTAGAATATATAAGCATTGCTCGAAACTAAGAGTAAAAAGCAATCAATTAGAAAACGAATAGACTACCCCTGAAGGTACCTGATCTCTTCAGAAAGTGAACAGAAGTTATGAAGAAGCATTTCACCAAAAAGGACATATAAATAGCAAAAGTGCATGAAAGACTGCTCAACAACATTCTTACCCATCAGCCACAACAGATACCACTACGCACCTATCAGAAAAGTTAAAATAGAAAATAATGAGAACACTGAATGCTGCCAGGGATGTGGAGAACTCGGCTCTCCCCTCTACTGGTGGTCGTGAGGTCAGACGGTGACACTGCTCTGGAGAACAACACACAACTACATGGCCCAGCAGCCACACTTCCAGACATACTCCCCAGAGGAATAAAAACCTACATTTATAAAAGAACCTTTGCAGCAGTTTATTAGTAACATGCAAAAACAGAGTACTTCATTCATGAATAAACAAAGGGTACCACTCCCTACCGCAGTGCTACTTGGAGGTGAGAGGGAACTTGCACTTCAGCAAGAGCCTGGACGTCTCCAGAGCAATGTGGCATGAAAAAGCCTGACCACAAAGGGCGTGCAATGTCAGCTGCGTCTACGGAACACCCTTGACGTGACAACAGTCACCAGCAAAGGAGAGGTCAGAGGTTGCCAGTGGTTACAGGGGAGATGGGGCAGGGAGCCAGCTGGACTGTGAAGGGCAGCGGTGGGAGTTGGGAGGGGACAGAATGCTCTGGAACTTACATGCCAACATGCTGGTTGTGATGTGCTACAAACCATAAGATGTGACCACCAGGAAAACTGGGTACAGGGTACATGGATCTCTCCACGCTACTTCTTAAACTACATGTGAAGTTAAAATTCTCCCAAAATAAAGTTTAATTTACAAAACAAACCAACCCAGGCAAGCACCCAGCCAGCCAGGCTCCCATGCCCCCTTACAGCTCCCACCAGTCCCTGCTGTTCTCCTCAGTCGGGATGGCGTGAGGAGGGGATGCCCAGAGCATTGCAGCAAGCCAGGCAAGCCAGATGGGCGGCCGCACCCTCCTCTGGACCCATTAACCCCTGATTGTAAATGAAGGGCCTCATCCCCAGATTACCTTAACAGAGCCAACCAGACCAAAGTCAATGTATTGTTTTCATTCTGACACAAGGCAGCCAGGAGCCTCAGCCACCCTATAACCCCATCGGCCCAGGCCCCACAGCAGAGGCTGTGACTAGGACCAGCTGAGGAAGGAAAGGGACTCCCTCAAAGAAGAACTGCTCCAGCCCCTCTGACCGAGCCCCTGGGGGCCCCTACAGCTCCAAGGCTGGGGGTGGCGGGCAAGTGCTCAGGGCTTGTGCCCATAGGTCAGAAGCCAAGTGTGGTATAGCTGGGGCTGTACTAGGCCCCTGAAGCCTCTCTGGGATAGCTCCTCCCTACCCACACACTCAGGTAGCCACCACCGTCTGGGAACAGGGGACAACTTGGGGCTCCAAAGATGGAGAAGAGACAGACTGCTGCCCAGCTCCATCCAGCCCAGGTATGTGCTGAGTCAACGCAAACGTTCCAGTGTCACATCCCCGCATACCACACTGTCCTCACCTAAAGGGCATTTTCAGCCACCACAGGGCAAGTTTCCTTACAAAACAATAAACAAGTTAAGATGGGGATGCCTGCTTCTGCCCTGTCCTTCCCAGCCAGGCAGACTCAACACCGAGCTTCGGAGCCGCCCACTCAGACAAGCCCTGAGAAGCCTCCTGCCCAGTAAAACTTTGGATCCCAGTAGACAAAGCCTTTGTCCTGCCAGCCAAGATGTCTTGTCCAGCCATAGCCTGGTGGGGCAGTTACTGAGGATCCTGCACTGTCCCCCACCCAGCTAGGTCTAGCTTGTTCAGACAGATCCCTCCTTGGAGTTAAATGTGTGAGTGTCCCGAGTTACACACCCAATAGGGATTTCAGTAGGAAAAGGGAAGAGAGCCACAAGGGGCCTGAAAACTAAGTCTGTGGCTCTATTTGGCTCTCCCTCCTCCTGAGGAGAACAAGCTCAGGCATCATCTAACCAAGGCTCAGGCCACTCACCTGACCACTGCAGGCAAATAGTGGAAATCAAGGACGGGCCAGCATGGTGGACAGTGGTTTGGTCATTCCCACTGACCTGGTTGGTGCCCACCGTGAGAATGCTCAGGCCTCTCTTCTCCCCTATTCCACTTTGCCCAGCATGTCTTCCTGCCCTCCGTGTCCCCAGACCACAGTGGCACCAGGGGAACCCTCGAGTGGCTTTCCTGAGAACACAAACCCAAAATGGGCTCACCTGTGACCAGACTGGAAGGCCCAGGCCCCTCTTGTCTGAGACGATGAGGGTGATGATGGTCTTGAGAATGGTGGCGAAGAATGTGTTGATGCCAAAAACCAGGGCACAGAGCTCTTTTGACAGGGAGGATGCAATCTGAAAACTGGAGGGGAAAGACAGGCCCAAATCAGACCAGCTGTGGAAGAGAAGCAGAGGCCAAGAGCAGACCAGCGGCACAAGCCCCACCCCCATCTCCCGCGCGCACCCCGACCCACGGCTGCCATCTCCCACGTGCACCCCCACCCAGGGCCACCATCTCTCACATCCACCCCCACCCCGG